TCCGGGACAGCCCCAGAGACCTGCAGAGCGTCCCAGGAAAGGAACTGAGGGGGAAGTGGTGAGATCTGAGCCTGGGGAAAAACCACGTTAATCACATTTAATCACATTCAATTTTTATAAAACATAAAGGCAGTGCAGTAAAGTTGGGTTTTGCCCCCAGCACTCTCCCCAAGGCTGGGAGCTGTTTTCAGCTGGGAAGGTATACATCCCTCGGCTAAACCGTGATTAGTTTAACAATGATTTGTGCAGCTACCGCCCTTGGAGTAATTCCAAAGGCTGGATGGATGTGGGACATTAAGCCAGAAGAAACTGCTTGAGGTCTGAGCCCAAAGTCTGACCTGGCAGGTAGGACATTCTTGGGGAGATGTGGCTGCCTTTCAGAAAATGGAGGGCTGAAATGGCCCCTGACATGAAGTAGTACAGACCTCAAGGAATAGATTTACGCCCTCCCTAAACCGTAAAGGAGGAACAGGAAGCGATTCTAGGAGGAGGGCCATGTTAGTCTGTAGTGGCAAAAAGAACTGTGTCCACGTATGGCTACGTGGGAGGTACGATCTGTATGTATAGACCTACCTAACACAAACAAGTCCTGTGCTGGTCCCTGCAGTGTGTCTCTCACATGTAACCTGCATCACCTCCCAACCGAGCGAAAGGAAAAGACGGAGATCATACCAATTCAGGCAAGCAAATGGGGAGCAACAGGGACTCTATTAATCTTGCTAAGAAATGGGGAGGGGAGATCTCAAGTCAGATTCAGAGGGAAAATTGCAGCGTTGCTTTGGTTTGGGTGGGAGGAATCTAGATTTGGGGGCACCTTTGTAGCTCGTGTAGGGCATCTTCTAGTTTTGTTTGGGCTATTTTTGCAGCTGGAGAACAAAACTTCCTCTCTTCTTCATGTTTTCCTTCATCCAACAGGTCCTTTCTGGAAAAACCTGTGGCCAAAGTTTTGCTTGCAAATTGTCTCTGGTTAGAAAGCCTTGCAAGGGAGAAGCCCCCGGAAACCATGCAGGGGGAGAAACCCTTCGACCAAAGGCCCCCTCAGGGGAAGCTGGGGAGAGTCTCCACATGCTCCGAGTGCGGGAAATCCTTTACTCACCAGTCCCTCCTTTTGATCCACCGGAAGGGGCACACGGGGAATGGATCGCATCTGTGTTTGGAGTGTGGGAAATCCTTTCCTGGAGTGTGGGGCTTTGCCAAGCATCTCAGGAGCCACGCCGGACTAAGGCCCTACAAATGTGGAGAATGTGGAAAGTGTTTTGCCAAAGGGTCGGACCTTGGAGCCCATCAGCGAATCCACCGGGAAAAGAGGCCTCAGGAATGCTGGAAGCGCCGCAAAAGTTTTCCTGAGAGATGGTGTCTTTCTAGGCCTCAGAACAGCCCAACTGAAGAGAAGGCCTGCAAGTGTGTGCAGTGTGGGCTGTGCTTTTCTCAAAAGTCAGAGCTTCTTAAACATCAGCAAATCTACATCGAAAAGAAACCTTATGAATTTCTGGACTGTGGCAAATCATTTAATCAAAAATTGATCCTTAAAAACCATGAAAACATTCACCCGGGAGAGAAACCTTACAAGTGCTGGCAATGTAGGAAAGATTTTACTTGCAACTCTCAGCTTCAGGTCCATGAGAAGGTTTGCGGAGGAATAATACCTTATAAATGCTTTGAGTGTGGAAAACATTTTACTCGGAGTTCATCTCTTCGGAGCCATGAAAAAACACACAGAGGGGAGAAAAACGAAAAGTGCCTACAGTGTGGGAAATGTTTTTCCTGGAAATCAGACTTAGTGCGACATCAGAGAATTCACACCGGAGACAGACCCTATAAATGCCAAGAATGTGAGAAACAATTTGTGGAATCTTCTAAACTTCGGATACATCAGATGAGGCATAAAGAAGAGAAAGCATATAAAAGTGAAGAGTGTGGGAAATGCTTTTCCCGGAAGCCAGATGTTGCTTCAAAGCAGTGTGTCCAGATGGGCGAGAAACCATACAATTGTGTGGATTGTGGGAAATGTTTTGCTCAAAAAGGAGGACTTTGGGAACATCAGAAAATTCATACAGGGGAGAAGCCCTATCAATGCATCGAGTGTGGAACATTTTTTCGTACGATATCAGGCCTAAGGCGTCACGTCAAACTTCACTCAGGGGAAAAAAATTACAAATGTTTAGACTGTGGGAAAGCATTTGCTTCTTCATCATCCCTTACATCGAGTGTGGAACATTTTTTCGTACGATATCAGGCCTAAGGCGTCACGTCAAACTTCACTCAGGGGAAAAAAATTACAAATGTTTACATCGAGTGTGGAACATTTTTTCGTACGATATCAGGCCTAAGGCGTCACGTCAAACTTCACTCAGGGGAAAAAAATTACAAATGTTTAGACTGTGGGAAAGCATTTGCTTCTTCATCATCCCTTAGAAATCATAGCCGCCTAATGCATATAGGAGAGACGCCCCATAAATGCTTGGAGTGCAATAAATGTTTTTCTGGGAAAGCAATCCTTTTGAAGCATCAGAGAATTCATACTGGAGAAAAACCTTATCAGTGTCTGGAGTGTGGGAAATGTTTTCCTTACCAAGAATGTCTTAAAAACCACGAAAGAATTCACACAGGAGAGAAACCTTACAAGTGCATGCAATGTGGCAAATGCTTTACTCGCAGTTCAGACCTTGGAGTCCATAAGAAGATTCACACAGGATTAAAACCTTATAAATGTGTTGAGTGTGGAAAATGTTTCCCACAAAACTCATCTCTTCGGAGGCATCAGAAAACACATGAGAAACATGAAAAGTGCCTAGAATGTGGAAAATGTTTTTCCCAGAAATCACACTTGGTGCGACATCAGAGAATTCACAGTGGAGACAGACCCTATGAAGGCCTAGAATGTGAGAAACGATTTGTGAACACCTCTGAACTTCGGATACATCAGAAAGGGCACAGAGGACAGAAGCCGTATATATGTGTTTTTTGTGGGAAAAGTTTTACATCTGCAACACAGGTTCAGATTCATCAGAAAATCCACATGGGGGAGAAGCCATTCAAATGTGGGGAGTGTGGGAAAAGTTTTACATCAGCAAACCATGTTCGGATTCATCAGAAAATCCACACAGAAGAGAAGCCATACAAATGTGGGGAATGTGGGGAATGCTTTTCCCGAAAACAATACCTTGGAAGGCATCGGAAGGTCCATACAGGAGTGATGCCATATAGATGTGTAGAATGTGGGAAATGTTTTACTGAAAAGGCAAGACTTTCAGAACATCAAAATATTCACACAGGGGAGAAGCCCTATCAATGCATCGAGTGTGGAATATATTTTCATATGAAATCAGGCCTCAGACATCATATGAAAGTTCACACAGAGGAAAAAAATTACAAATGTTTAGACTGTGGGAGAGCATTTGCTTCTTCTTCATCCCTTCGAAATCACAGCCTACTGCATATAGGAGAGAGGCCCCATAAATGCTTGGACTGTGAAAAATGTTTTATCAGGAAAGATAGTCTTTTGAAGCACCAAAGAATTCATACCGGGCAAAAGCCTTACCAATGCCTGGAGTGTGGGAAATCTTTTCTTTACAAAGAATGTCTTAGAAACCATGAGAGGCTTCACACAGGAGAGAAACCTTACAAGTGCGGGCAATGTGAGAAGGACTTTACTTGCAACTCACTACTTTGGCTCCATAAGAAGATTCACACAAGAGAGGAACCTTACAAATGCCTTGAGTGTGGAAAAAGTTTTGCTCGAAATTCATATCTTCAGAGGCATAAGAAAACACACAACAAGGACAAAAGTGAAAAGTGCTTAGAATGCGGGAGATGTTTTTCCGAGAAAGCACACCTGGTGCGACATCAGAGGCTTCACACTGGAGACAGACCCTATGAATGCCCAGAATGTGAGAAACGGTTTGTGGAGTCTGCTGAACTTCGGAGACATCAGTTCAGGAGGCACAGAGGAGAAAAACCATATAAATGTGGAGAGTGTGAGAAAAGTTTTACCTCAGCAACGCAGGTTCGGATTCATCAGAGAACCCACACGGGGGAGAAGCCATATAAATGTGGGGAGTGTGGGAAATGCTTTTCCCAAAAACAACACCTTGGAAGGCATCAGAGGGTCCATACAGGAGTCAAGTGATAGAGATGTGTACATTGTGGGAAAGGTTTTGCTCAAAAGGGAGGACTTTGTGAACTTCAGAAAACTCACACGGGAAAAGCCCTATCTATGCACCAAATGTGGAACATTTTTCGTAGTGGATCAGCTCTTAGAAAGTGTGGGAAATGCTTTTCCCAAAAACAACACCTTGGAAGGCATCAGAGGGTCCATACAGGAGTCAAGTGATAGAGATGTGTACATTGTGGGAAAGGTTTTGCTCAAAAGGGAGGACTTTGTGAACTTCAGAAAACTCACACGGGAAAAGCCCTATCTATGCACCAAATGTGGAACATTTTTCGTAGTGGATCAGCTCTTAGAAATCATATGAAAGTTCACACAGGGGAAAAAATTACAAATGTTTAGACTGTGGGAGAGCATTTGCTTGTAAATCATCCCTTAGAAATCCCAGATGCCTAATGCATATAGGAGAGACGCCCCCTAAATGCTTGGAGTGTGTTTTTCTGAGAAAGGTGGCCTTTTGCAGCATCAGAGAACTCACACTTGAGGAAAACCTTATCAGTGCTTAGAATGTGGCAGACGTTTTTCCTGATAATCAGGTCTTCAGGTGCACATGAGAAATCAAACAGGAGACCAAGTTTATAAGTGTGTAGTGAGAGAAAGCTTTTCCTTGCCAATCAAAATTTAATATTTGTTTATTTGTACATCATATTTATATAGTCGCCTATCTCTCACAAAGCATGCACCAGAGAATCCAAACTGGAGGAAAGCCCTTCAGCTGTGAACAATGTGGGAAATGGTTCTCTCAAAAGCCAGAACGTTCACTCAGTAACAGAAGTGAAATCCTATGAAGATTTGGTTTGTGGGAAATATTTTTCATGATCAGAAAACCCTCAGATGCAACAGAATCACAAAATATTACATCAGAGTCAGGAGTGTGAGGAATGTTTTGATCAGGAAGCAGCGTTAATGACTCATCAGAGAGTCCACACAGGAGGAAAGACAATGAGAAGTGTGAGAAATGCTTTGTAGAGAATTCAGTATTAGAGAAACATCAGAAAGTTCACAAGAGGAAAAGTGTTTAAATGTTTGGAATGTGGAAAATTGTTGGAAGGTCAGTAGGACCTCTGGAGCCACCAACGAATCCACAAAAAAGACCCACGTGAATAGAGAGAAACATCAGAAAGTTCACAAGAGGAAAAGTGTTTAAATGTTTGGAATGTGGAAAATTGTTGGAAGGTCAGTCGGACCTCTGGAGCCACCAAGGAATCCACAAAAAAGACCCACGTGAATAGAGTGTGGGAAATGCTTTTCCGAGACAGAGTATCTTGGCGTGCATGAAAGAGTTCACAAGAGAAACCCTGCAGCTGTTTCCAGTGTGGGAAATCTGTTTCCCAGTTAGATGCATGACTTGCACACCAAAGTGTCCCCACGGAACCCAGAAATGGTTCAGCAAAAATCACATTTGTTTACGCACCAGAGGATCCAAACTGGAGAGAAACCATACAAGTGCTTGGAGTGTGGGAAATCATGTGCTTAACTTATGTTTGTAGTGTGGAAAATGTTACGCTGAAAAATCTCTTAAGAAGTACAAGAAAGCTCATAATTCTTGAGAAGTGTGGGGACTTATGATGGCTCCCATTGTTGCAGTTCGTTGGTGGGAAAATCGATACTGCCCCCTCCATTATCATGAATTGTATATAGTCTTTTTATATACAATTGCTATTAGCTAATTTTAATCTGTATATTTAAATTTTCATAGTTTCTACTGCTTTGGATTTTTACTGTGAGCCTCTTGATGAGGATGAAAGAGGAGAGTGCAAAAGGTGACTTGAAACTCAACATTAAAAAAACTAAGATCATGGCATCTGGACCCATCAATTCCTGGCAAATAGAAGGGGGAGAAATGGAAGCCGTAAAAGAATTTATTTT